TAAAAGAAAATACCTTCAGGGGTTGGAGGAGGGTGCAGGAGGGGGTTGGGGAAGAAGAGAGAATGCTAATTGCCCACAGGGTCCCTGAAATAGGTCCCAGAAATACAGAAAGGTAACCTTTGCTCCTGACCTGAACAAAGCTGTAATTCATAGCTGTAAGTTATATGAGATTCCTTGTATCCTTCCAATAAACTAAATTCTTGTTTGGACTAAATTAAGAGAGTTTCTGTTTCTGACAACTGAGATTTCTTGGCCAAGACATTGATCAAACGTGTGCAATGACAGCATATTTATGTTCCATATTTTTATACAGACCAAAAGTTCCTTGAGATCAACACTGTAATTTTAGCTCATTGATTGACTCGCTAGGTGATCTTGAACAAAACCTAATTCTTTACATTTCTGTATTCCTGTCCTTAAACACGAACAAAATTCTATCACAATGCTTTGACATAGGTCAGAAGTTAGGAGAAATGCTGAAGCTACTTGAGAAATAGGCATACTGCGCATAATTCAAGGTTGTTACTAAGCAGATGCTAGCTTTGGGGCATTCACAGCAGTTCTGGCAACTTTAAATAGCTAATACAGCTTCTGAGGCTGCCCGGCTACTGACACAGCAGGGCTTATCCACTGGGAGGCTATGACTCACTTATTCTCCCAACTCCTGGATGTAATCTGACACAATGTATCCCCAAGACACTTCCTGCTGCTAATGCTTCTATTTCTGTCTTGGAGCCTTTTAATTTGTATTTTCCTCAAATGGTTTATGCCTGCTTGTCAAGTGGGATTCTCACCTCACTTGGAACTCCTGGCTCTTTGATAAGGAAGAGAGTAGGTGGCAGGGAGAGCTGACATGCCACAGAAACCCGTGTAAGCAATCAACAGCTTCCTTACAGCCAAGTGTGATTTTTTTTTTTTCTGCAATACCAGCTGAAAGCACTACAGCACAACTGTCTCCTGCTAATATCAGATTCTCATACACAAAGTCCCTATTAGTACTTCACTACAACTAGTTGCTCTGACATCACTCTGGTGGCTGCATTTCTTGAAGCCTATTTATGTAACTCCTTGCACTTCAGGTTCAAAATATTCAGGTTTTTGGGTTTTTTTTGTTTTTGTGGGGTTTTTTTTGAGATGGAGTCTCGCTCTTGCCACCCAGGCTGGAGTGCAGTGGCACCATCTCGGCTCGCTGCAACCTCTGCCTCCCGGGTTCAAGCGATTCTCCTGCCTCAGCCTCCTGAGTAGCTGGGATTACAGATGCCTGCCACCCACGCCCAGCTAATTTTTCTACTTTTAGTAGAGACGGGGTTTCACCATGTTGGCCAGGCTGGTATCAAACTCCTGACCTCAGGTGATCCACCTGCCTCAACCTCCCAAAATTCTGGGATTACAGGCATGAGCCATCGTGCCCAGCCCAAAATATTCAGGTTTTAGTCAACTGTAGCAATATGAGAAGTGATTATGAATTCTGACCCTGGAGTCAAGATAGAATTGAAGGGGAATCCCAACTCTGCCACAGATTTACACTGAGATACTGGGAAGCTTATGTAACCACTCTGAAATTCAGGTTTTTTAATCAACAAGATGAAGAGATGTTATGAGATGTTGGAACCCGCCTTAGGTTACATTGTAAGAAAATGTGTTTATAACGATTAGGATTAATCCTTATATGCCTAGTATATCATATTGAAAGGTGACAACATGCTAGCAGCCCTCACTCTTGGTGCCTCCTCGGCCTCAGCATCCACTCTGGCCGCACTTGAGGAGACCTTTGGCTCGCCATTGCACTGTAGGAGCCCCTCTCTGGGCTGGCCAAGGCCAGAGCTGGCTCCCTCTGCTTGCAGGGAGGTGTGGAGGGAGAGGCGTAGGTGGGAACCAGGTCTGCACTCTGCGCTCACAGGCCCAGTGAGGGGCTTAGCATCCGGGCCAGCAGCTGCGGAGGTTGCGTTGGGTCCCCCAGCATTGCCGGCCAGCATGCACCTAGCTTGAATTCTCACAGGGCCTCAGCCACCTTCCCACAGGGCAGGGCTCAGGACCTGCAGCCTGCCATGTCCCAGCCCCTGCCTTGGCTGTGGGCTCCTGCACGGCCTGAGCCTCCCCAAGGAGTGCTGCACCACCCGGTTCCATCAACGGCCCAGGGGCTGAGGAGTACAGGTGCACAGCACGGGAATGGCAGGCAACTCCACCAGCAGCCCTGCTGCAGGATCCACCAGGTGAAACCAGCTGGGCTCCTGGGTCTAGTGGGGACTTGGAGAACCTTTATGTCTAGCTAAGGGATTGTAAATACACCAATCAGCACCCTGTGTCTAGCTCAAGGTTTGTAAATAGACCAATTGGTACTCTATATCCAGCTAACCTAGTGGGGACTTGGAGAACTTTACTGTCTAGCACTCTGTCTAGCTACAGGATTGTAAACGCACCAATCAGCACTCTGTATATAGCTCAAGGTTTGTAAATGCACCAATCAGTGCTCAGTGTCTAGCTAATCTAGTGAGGACTTGGAGAACCTTTATGTCGAGCTAGAGGATTGTAAATGCACCAATCAGCACTCTGTGTCTAGTTCAGCACCTGTGTCTAGCATACCTTTAATGCACCAATCAGCACCCTGTCAAAACAGTCCAATCAGCGCTCTGTAAAATGGACCTATCAGCTCTCTGTAAAATACACCAATCAGCAGGATGTGGGTGGGGCCAGATAAGGGAATAAAAGCAGGCTGCCCAAGCCAGTCAGTGGCAACCGCAGTACCTTTCCACACTGTGCAAGCTTTGTTCTTTCACTCTTTACAATAAGCTGCTCACTCTTTGGGTCCACACCATCTTTAAGAGCTGTAACACTCACCAAGGAGATCAAGAGTCTCATTCCTGAAGTCAGTGAGACCACAAACCCACCAGAAGGAAGAAACTGCGGACACATTTGAGCATCTAAAGGAACAAACTCCGGGCTACCATCTTTATGAACTGTAACACTCACCGCGAGGGTCCGCAGCTTCATTCTTGTAGTCAGCAAGACGAAGAAGCCACTAATTCCAGACAATATATGCTCTGAATATATAAGCTGTCATTATTATCATGAAGTGAGGACTCCTTTATGTTTTGTTTTGTTTTTGTTTTTTTGAGATGGAGTCTCGCGCTGTCGCCCAGGCTGGAGTGCAGTGGCACGATTTCAGCTCACTGCAAGCTCTGACTCCCGGATTCACACCATTCTACTGCCTCAGTGTCGCAAGTAGCTGGGACTACAGGCACCCACCACCACACCTGGCTAATTTTGTTTTTGTATTTTTAGTAGAGATGGGGTTTCACCGTGTCAACCAGGATGGTCTGGATCTCTTGACCTCATGATCTGTCCACCTCAGCCTCCCAAAGTGCTGGAATTACAGGCATGAGCCACCACACCCAGCTTGTTTGTTTTTATTATTTTAATTGATAAATCATAATTGTATACACTTATAAGTAAAATGTGATATTTTGATATATGTAAAAATCGGAAATGATTAAACTGAGCTAATTAACATATCACCTCACCTCTATTTTGTGGTTAGACATTGAAAATTGACTCTTATGTTGAAATATACATTAATATTGATTATAGTCGCCTCGCTACGCAGTAGATCTCAAAACCTATTCCTCTTGTGTATACGTGAAACTTTGTACCTTTTGATGAACAACTCCGCATTCCCTCCCCCCTTCAACCCTCAACCTCAGTAACCATCATTTTACTACTTCTATGAGTTCAGTTTTTTAGAGTTCATAAACAGTAGTCCCCTCTTACCTATGGTTTGCTTTCTGGAGTTTGTTACTGCAGTCAGCCACATTCCAAAAAATATTAAGTGGAAAATTCCAGAAATAATTCGTAAGTTTTAAATTCTACACCATTCCGTGTAGCATGAAGAAATCACACTCTTTCCTACTCCAGGGGGAATGTATCTACTTCAGATAAAGGGGAATAAGTGAGATAATACATATTTGCTTTCTGTTTTCAAAGCATGAGAATTCCATTCTCTGTTTCTTTCGAATACAACTAAATATCCACTTCTTTGGTGCGATTAAGGTCACCCTTGTCCCATCTTTGAGGGAGAAAAAAAACTGTGGAAAAGTATGTTCTCTCCTGCATGCTGAACATCAAGACTTTGGTTTTGTGTGAATCTGTACCACTTTTAACCAAGCATTTCTGTGCCTAAGTTTCCTGCACTACAAAATGAGATTTGGTCTGGATGTTATCTGGGGTACATTTTACTTATGGTGTTCTATGAGTTTACTCTTTCTAGTTTGACTATTAGATGATCTCACATTGATGGCAGAAGTTGTATGATATAGTTCTCCAATTATACAATAAACAGAACTTGAGCTTCAACAGTCAATGTGGTTGAAGCAAACTCAATCTAGGATCGTTTACTAACACAGAATCACTAAAACAAGGGACATTGTACAGAACAAGTACATTGTACAGAAATTAAAGTATATATGTTGGGCCATTTTCATTGCAGACTATATCGTGTGTTGGGAGGCTGCATTAATCAGAATTATTTAGGCTTTGCTAGAGTAATCCAGGAATATAGTAAATGGCTTCAAACATTAAAGTTTTCTCTCTCGTACTCATGCATAATCTGGTACCGTTTGCCTGCTTTGCTCCCCATTTTCCTTTGTTACATTTGCCTTGCTTAAATTTTCGTTGGTTAGTGAGACATTTAGATAGTTCCTGATTAAATTCAATTTATAAGCATCAATTAAATATTGATTGAGAGCTATTCATTTCTCGCTATTTCATGAACAAAAACTTAATGAAGAGACATTACAAGGTATTTAGGCCCTCAGTGAATAACAGCTTTAGAAGTGCCTGGAAAAAAGAAAAAAGAACCACTCCTAGAATTCTACTCTATTCTTTTCTTTATTTAAGTATACTTATTATGTGTTTATCTTACACTAGTACAGAGCACTTTACAGCAATTGCTTGGCCCTTTTGTTCAGAATTATTAGCGTCAAGACAAATCTGTCCTTGTGTACCTTTTGATGCTCCTTTTATTTCACTGCCATCAACCACTTGGTGGAAGTTTTTATTTTCCTGTTATTTTTCTCCCTGCGGAGTAAAGATGAGGTTAAGAAGATTATTCAGCAGCTGTGTCCAATCACCTGCTCTCCTAATCCTTGGTTTTTACACTCTTAAAGAACACTGCTGGGGATACCTTAGGTTCTGTCATTACCAACATGGTTAATCCTGTACTTCCCTAAGACTTGGCATCTACCTACTTTGAAGACAGCTGTGACTATGGCTCTCCTTTTAAAATTTCATTCTCCTAGCAAGGATCTAGTTGGATTACATCTTACCTCTAATCTTTTATTTCAAAGGTGGATGAAAAGGTAAAACAACCACAATGACTTCTCTAAGACACATTCAGTCCTTGACCTTTGAGACAAGTGCCTGTCTCACTTCAAAATACATTTTAATGGCAAGGGTGGATTGCTCTAAGTCTATGCCTTGTCCCTCACAGGCTCAGAGACATGTTAACATCATCCTGTTGTATGATATTTCATCCTGTTCATGTAAAGTTGACTGTTGTTTCTCTTCAATTTCAGGGCACCAATCCTCAGGTTTAAGCTTCTCCAATTTCTCTAGCTTGTTTCAGGTTGTTTCAACATTCTCAATGTGATATATAGGTCCATCAGTACTCCAAGATCTTAGTCCACTTTGCATTGGTATGTCTCCACTGGGTAAGATTATCCGAGTCCATGTGTTTGCAAAATCATAGCTATGCTACTATTCTGCAGATAGTCCATCATTCTCTACAAGCTTGGATTTTTAATAAATTTTCTCTACAAGTTCAAACAAATGTATCATTTTTACATTTTCCTTAAAATTGTCATGGATAAAACATGAACTGACAGCAATTCATTGGCAACCTGGGTAATATCTGTTAGTATATCTTTGACTGTGATGCTCAAATCATGCAGTCTGATTCTGTGACCACTTTTAAAGAGGATACTCCAAAGGGAATTACACTGTGTTCTTCTGGGTGATTTATGAAGTTTACAGTCCTTCATATCACGTGCAATTAGAAGGGTTATTTTGTACTAAATGTTCCAAAGACTGTTTTGCAATTTTGACAAGCTACTATGTGTCTTAGTTTAAACATGAAAAGGTTAAAAATGCACCCTAATTTCTTTTTCTATATGTAAAAGGCAGTAGTGCAGGTTGACTTCAGAAGGCCATTTGAAGAAAAAAAATATGTCAACAAGCACTTTGTTAATACTAACTCTTGAGACTCTTAAAATGACAAACATAATTGCATTCATTTCTAGGTATAGTAAGATATGATGGTTCTTTACATACAGGTACATATAAAATATTGCAAACCAAACCAGTTGGGGTAAAACATTTACTGCAATAATGTAAATTTTAAAAGATTTCAGCTGGAAATAATTAAAGAATCAAATATTACAGTACTGGATACAAAGTTGTATCTTTCCTAAAAGCTTGTCATATTTAAACTCGCTTAGCTTGGAGAAGAGAATGCATTTATCTAAGGCATATAGTTTCAACTTCTTATTTTATAGATGGGGACGCTTGAGCCCAATAAAGTTTAATGATTTGTCTAACAAGACACAACTGATTAATATCAAAATGGAAAGACGACAAGAGACCTGGTATTCTTGTTTTTCTTCCTATTAGTTCATATTGAGATATGAGTCATAGGGTTAGAAGAGCATTGTGGATAATGTAATTTGAATTTTTTTTTATAGGCTAGGAAGCTGATGTTAGAAACTTCCAGTTTTGAAAACATAATGAACCCAGCTAATATAGACCAATGACCGACCACCTAAAGGCACAGAAAAATAATGAATATAATATAAGTAAAACAATTTTTAAAAATCTATCAAATTTAAGGAAAGGAAATGGAATGCTGAAGGTCTTATTAAGAAACAGAGGAACTGAAGACTCTGCAATAAGTTTTAGTGAATGTGGTGGTGGTTCAGGGACAGGGTGGTTCTCACTACAGAACTGAGGGCTGGTGAGCCAGGGTATTGATGGCTCACTAAATAGCCATCAATTCTATACCTTCTATAAAGGTATAGAAGGGACAGGAGACATAATCTTCCAAGCACAGGGAGATTAATCTAAAGTCCCTATATAAAACACAGATTCCCTAAATCCATGGAAAGAAGCTAGAAAAATGATGCAAATGGCCTCAACAAGAAATAAGGAATTCTGTTGTCTTTGGACTCGATGTGACCCCTGTAAGAAATAAAAACCTCATGCCTGGGCCAAGTGTAAGTATATGATCTAATTTACTGTACTTATAAAATGCACAAAGTTAACAAAAACTGATATGTTACCTTTTATATCCTAAAGACCCCCAAAAAAGCACAAGCAGAACCACTCTTGGGGAATGCTGTCACAACAGAGTTCACAGCATTCCCAAAGGAAGGAAATATTTAAATAAGGTGGGCTCAAAATATAAAATTACAAACTATATGTGGAAGAAAAAAACCTAACATGAAAAACTTCAGTTGGCACAGTAAAAAGAAACATACAGTATAAGTACTAAAAATAATAAAAGATTAATGAACATGAGGAGAAACTAAGAGTATGTAAAATAATTACAAATAAAAAGGAACTGAATTCATGATAAAGCAAGAAATCATGACTTAAAAAAAAAAAGATAAACCAAAAACAGCTTCTAAAAATTAAAACCAGAAATTGAAATTAAAAAAAAAATGAACATTTGTAATAGCCATGCAGTGCTTTTCATAAATATTACAGTTCTCCTTTGTTTCCAGGTGCATATTAAGATTGTATTTCCTGGCCGGGCATGGTGGTTCACGCTTGTAATCCCAGCACTTTGAGAAGAAATTACGAGTATGTAAAATAATTACAAATAAAAAGGAACTGAATCCATGATAAAACAAGAAAACATGACTTTAAAAAAAAAAAGATAAACCAAAAAGAGTTTCTAAAAATTAAAACCAGAAATTGAAATATATATATATATAAAAGAACATTTGGAGTAGCCATGCAGTACTTTTCATAAATATTATAGTTCTCCTTTGTTTCCAGGTGCATATTAAGATTGTTATTTCCTGGCCGGGCATGGTGGCTCACGCTTGTAATCCCAGCACTTTGGGAGGCCCAGGTGGGCAGCTCACCTGAGGTCAGGAGTTCGAGACCAGCCTGGCCAACACAGTGAAACCCTGTCTCCACCAGAAATACAAAAATTAGCTGGATGTGATGGTGGGCACCTGTAATCCCAGTTACTTGGAAGGCTGAGGCAGGAGAATCACTTGAACCTAGGAGGCAGAGGTTGCAGTGAGCCGAGATTGTGCCACTGCACTCTAGCCCGGGCGAACGAGCGAGACTCTCTCAAAAAAAAAAAAAAGAAAAGAAAAGGTTGTATTTCCTTACAGTCTTTGGAGTCATCTATTGGCTTCTTTTGCTGGTGGAATATGAGGAAAAATGATATGTGTCAATTCTGGGAGGAAGCTTTCTGAGCCAGTTTATGATTCCACAGGTTCTCTTTATTTTGCCTTCGCATTCCCAGATGGGGCCTCCATCAACACAGAGGTCCCCTGTTAACTTTCACTGAGAAAGTTGCATGAAAGAGAAATAAACTTTTCTTGTTTTAATCCATGACACTTGGGGCTGTTTGCTAACGCAGCGTGAACAAGGCATCCTAATGATATAAAAGTTAAGTAGCAGAATAGACACTGATGAACAACATATTTAAAAACTGAAGGAATCTAGAGGGATTTTCTTATAATGCAAAATGAAGACAAAGAAAAAAGTGAAAGGGTGGCTAGGAGTTATGAATAGGAGAAAGAAACAGACCGAAATATGTTTAAGAATGCAGAAAAGAAACAACAAAAATAATCTTAGAAATACCAATATTCACATAAATAATAAATGAGAATTTTCCACAACTGGAAAAAAGAAGTGTGTCCTGTTGAAAAACAGAATAGCATAAGAGAAGAACTAAACATAAATGCATACTTGGACATATCATTGTGGAACTGCAGAACTCCAAATGTAAGAAATATCTTAAAAGTGAACAGAGAAAAAAGATCACATACATAAGAATATCAATTTGACCAACAGCAGATTTCATTATCTGTAGTAATAAAGGATAGAAAACAATGGAACAATATATTTATGGTATTGAGAAGGAAAATACCATCAACTAAGAATTACAATCCTAGCTTAACATTATTCAAAAATAACAGCAAAAGAATAATACTTAATAATACACAAAAATTAAAGAACTTACCATTAACAGAAGCTACTAAAAATTTAATGGGTACCTTGAGCAAAAGAAACTTAACACTCAAAGGAAGTGAGATGCTGGAAGCAGTGATGAGAAATAAACTGGTCAATATATAAGAAAACCTATGTAAGTTAAGCGTTGACTGTATTAAATATAATAATAATTACTAAGAGGAAGAAAAAGTTGAACTAAAATAATATGCATAGAAGAACAACTTGGAACTTTGAGTGATACAATTTGAGTTAAAGAATTTTAGATCTTATTTGGGAATATTATTAAATTTGACTTTGCTAAGGTTAAAATTTGGTGGAGCACACTAAAAATGGAAACAGTGAAAAATCCGAAATAATAATAAGAAATAACGGAATTAAGAAAATCAGTTAATTTAGTAGAAGGTGGAGAAACATTTAGGAACAACCTGATACAAAAATAAGGTGATGGAAAGAATGTTAACAATATTTCAGGAATCAAAATAAGTGCAAAAAAATTCAGCTCCCTTAGTAAAAAAAAAGGGGGGAGAATTCACACTGAAAAAAAATCCAACTACACGCTGCTGAAAGGAGAAACACCTAAAATTACACATAAAGGCTGGAAACAAATTAGAAGGGAAATCTCAGGCATATTTAATTTAAATGAAGTAATATTTTGTCAACAAGCATTACCAGGAATAAAAACAGGATCATGCCATAATGGCCCAAGGATTAATTCGTCAAATTAATAGAAACTCGGTGCCCATTCATGATAAGTAGCCTATGAGAGGGTCACACAATAAATTAGTTGTGGTGCAGAACTATGACCTCTGCTTCCCGATCATAATATTCTCTTCCTTTCCTTTACAGTACTTAGCACAATATGTATTTTTTCTACTTGTATGTTATTGGTCCCCCTATTAGACAGCAAACTCAAAATTCCCGGGGATTTACATATATTATTTGGCACCATATCACCTGGTCCTAATACATGTTCTGGCACCTACTTAGCCTCCCAAAAAATAGTTTTTGGGAGAACAAATGACACTCATGCTCCTGATATTCTAGCTATTCAACATAGCATAATCCTTTCCATTAACCATAAGGAAAAGCATTAGCATCACTTGGATCAAATGGAGCAATTCATATACATACTCTTTTCATAATTAAGATTAAAAATTTCTGCTTAACATTACAGCTTATAAAATACTTCACAGAATAACACAATTATCCTTTATATTTCCAATTATAATTTTCATTTCAATTTCTAAAAACAAAGGTTTTTTAAAAAGAATCTCTAAAATGTGACTGAAAGGATAAAAAAATCATAAATAATAATAATGATGGACAATCGAATCACATTTTCAGGCAGTGCTTATTTTCTTATTGGCAGCAGCTTAAATTGTATTCAGAAGCATATGCATGAAACATTCTAATATAAGGCCACAGGGATGTGTTCTCTTAGTTCTAACATCTCACTTACAGTATGTTAATACTCTTCTCTCAGCACAGGTAATGTTACCTCTGCTAGGGAAGGCTCTGTCAACTACCAAGAGAACATAGAAAGAATAAAACTCATGTTTCTCTGTCACCTATTTCCCTGTTACATCAAAAGTCCCTCGGGGGCTGATTAAATTAATTAAGTGCTAACAGAAATTCTAGCCATTATTTTCTTTCTGGCTAAGATGCCAGAAAGAGAAAAGCCAACCCTGGAACAGTTGAGCTGCCAAAAATCTAATGTGATAGCCTAATATTTACAACCAAATAATACTAATTACAAAAGTATCAATTATGGAGGGTCTATTTCCTAACTGGCACCACAACAGGTTCATGACATTTATTTTTCCTAAGCTAACAAAAGGGCTAATCAGTACCCTTATTTCACATTTTGAGAAATAAGAGAGAGGTATTCAGTGAAATATTTAGAATACAAACTCATTCCTGTCTGACCCCATCATTCAGAATCTCAGCATGAAACTATGAATCCTGACATTTAAAAATTTGACTTGGGCCAGGCACCGCGGCTCATGCTTGTAATCCCAACACTTTGGGATGCTGAGGTGGGCAGATCATGAGTTCAGGAGTTTGAGAGCAGCCTGGTCAACACAGTGAAACCCCATCTCTACTAAAAATACAAAAATTAGCTGGGCGTGGTGGCAGGCACCTGTAATCCCAGCTATTCAGGAGGCTGGGGCAGGAGAATCGCTTGAACCCAGGAGGCAGAGGTTGCTGTAAGCCGAGATCACGCCCCTGCACTCCAGCCTGGGCAAAAGAGCTAGACTCCATCTAAAAAAAAAAAAAATTTGACCTGGCCTTTGCCCTTGGCAGTCAGGTCGGACAGGACTCTCAGGCAGGCAGTGTGCATGGATTTGAATGACAATCTGCTTATTTTGTTATATTGCTGATACAGTTTGGATGTCTGTCAATCCCAAATGTCATCTTGAAATCTGACACCTAGATTGGAGGTGGGGCCTAGTGGGAGGTGTTTGGGCCATGGAGGAAGACTGTTCATGAATGACTCAGTGCCTTTCCATGGGTAATGAGTAAATTCCTGCTGTATTAGTTCATGCAAGAGCTATTTGTTTAAAAGAGATTGGCCTCTCTCTTCTCTCTGTTGCTCCCTCTCTGACCTTGTGGCATGCCTGCTGCCCCCTTTCCCTCTGTCGTAATTGGAAGTTTCCTTTTACCAGCAGTTGCTGGTGCCATGCTTCTTGTACAGCCGGAAGAACCATGAACCAAATAAACCTCTTCCCTTATAAACAGCCCAGCCTCAAGTATTCCTTTATAGCAATGCAAAAAAGACTGAGAATGTCACCATAGGTACGTTACCAGTGGAGGGTCTTGACTATGAATTGTCTAGGTTCTTGGCATTTTGAACAAAGAATTGGACAAAACACACAAACAAAGCCACAAAAGAATGAAGCAATGAAAGCACAGATTTATTGAAATTAAAGTGTACTCCACATAGTGAGAGCAATCTTGAGCAAGTAGCTGAAGAGCACTGGTTACAGAATTTTCTGGGGTTTACCCTCTAGAGGTTTCCCATTGGTTACGTGGTTACACACTATGTAAATGAAGGAGTGACCCATGACCAGTCTGACTGGTTGCAGAGAGTGACCAATCAGAGACTGAAGCGAAGTTACAAAGTTACACCTTATGCAAATGTCTGATTGGTTGCAGGAGGGGGCCAATTAGAGGCTGAAGTGAAGTTACAAAGTTATTACACGTGAAGACTTGGCCCTTGACCAGTGTGACTGGTTGCAGGAGGAGGGGATCAATCAGAAGTACTTTCCATTTTTCATGGGCAATGCAGTGCAAAGGGAATAGTCTCTAATCCTTTTGTTAACTGGTTGTGGGAGGTGAGGTTTCCTTTGGATTCAGTTCTAGGAAGTCAGTGCAAATTGCCCTTAGGTTTACCCTGCCTCCAGATCCTAT